TGATATATAAAACATTATTATGTTTTTCCAAAACGACAATATTAATACACGTTAACAACTCTATTGATATAACATCATCTCTAATGCCCAAAAATAAATATATTTATTTTATCTCTTCATTCACAACTAAAATAATTTAGTAAAAAATTATTGATGCCCAAAATAAAAATAAGAAAGAAAAAAAGAAAAAAATTCGAGAAAATAAAAATCTATAATCTTTACTACTTGATAACTCGAATGAAAGAATCACAACAAATAAGTCTACTGAATGTTTATAGTTATGAAGAAAATACACATAATTTAAGTATGATAAATATGAAATAATATCTAATGTAGATGCATAATTATTTTTTTTTATGTATTTTATCTAATATTTCAACAAAAATTTTCACGTGCAATGCACATCGTACATTGCTAGTTATATTAAAAGTAGAGATACTAGAGTAAAAAAAAAATATTTTTTAGTAATGTTGCTAGCACTCATAATTAAGTGCATAATAATCATCATCTTAGACTTACCAAGCTCAATCCTTAATATGACCTCAACACAAACTCAGCACCTTAGGCAATGACCGAATCAAAGCCTTTAAAAGAGGGGGTAATCATTATTTGTTACGAGCAATTTTACTTATATCTAATTTTTTAATATAATTATTTATAACTATTGAATTGACAATGAATCTAAGTCTCAATAATTATTCAGAAACACAATCAATCAATTCAATTACATCAATATAGCATTATTGATTTGTTACAGCCGCTCAATGTACAGCCAAATACCGCGACAGATAAAGAATTAGATGTCAATGACTCAATCCTAGAGATCCGGCGATAGTTTTTCCCCATGGCCCCACCTTTGATTAAAGCTCGTCAACGAAATAGACATGAATCAAATTTTTAATGTTCTAAATTTAAACCCTATTTAAAAAATAAATCAGACTTTATTTTTATCTAACTAATTTAATTAAAATTAATTTAAACAAATCCCACTTACATTTTAACACAATTTTTATGAAATGATCACTCATTACAAAATACGTTTAATCCATTATAATCACATGGAATGTTAATAAATCAAAATCCGAAGAGTATGATAGAACCAATTCATATTGAAATTTGTTCAGATTAGAATTCAATCCATGGACATACCTATCTATAAAACTCCGCTAGTAAAGAATCCCACATGTTAAATGGTTGCCATGCCTTGGGCCTGTCTAAGGCGCAAGCCGAAGGCATTTTGGGGGAAAACCTTGTTCTTGATGGGAACTGTCCAACAAAAATAAGAAAAAACAAACACACCGTGTATCAAGTGTTTGTCTTATATAACTTATGATAATCATTAATCCAAACCGCATAATAATCACATGTCTAACACCTCAAAAAAACACTCTTTTTTTCTTGTTTGTATTACTAGACAGTGAATGACGACTTTAACGGTTCTGTTATATGTACCTTGTGAACACCAAAGGAAATGTCTTAAGCCAGGCAACTGTTCTTGTTATTAGCCCAAGGATCTTTTTTTATGTCAAAATAAAATGAGTTCTCGGTGAATATGCAAATCCTATTAAAGCAGTGCTCTGCTAGAGATCCGTCTCCTGGGACTTATTATTTGGTAAGTGATGTCTACTATATAGACTGCACTACATAGCATAGTCGACAATCTATTATCAGTTCTCCGCATAGTTTGCTCACAAAATTACACCAAAATAAATTGACTATCCATAGAACTTGGTAGAATTTTGCAGAGCTAACAATTGCAGACTCAATAAAACGGTTTTTTTAGAATACAATGCATGTTTATACCATATAGATGAATCTGGTTATTGTTCTGATGCATACGAAGAATGACTTTATTAAGTACATATTAGCTTTAGACATTAAATTGCAAATCAAGCTCCTTAAATGAGACTATCAAGCTCTCCCTGTGGGGTTTAAGGAAGACAAAACAGTACTACTTTGTTTATTTTATCCTATTACCTTGAGAAGTTGGAAAGACTACTATGTTCATCATACCTAAATCCAATCACAATTAACATTATTTAGTATATGATGACAGAGTCTCTGGCGAATAACCTAGTACCCGAGCTTTATCTCATCAGGTTCAAGGATCTACCCTTTACAAGACCCTCAGAAGTTGTACAAATGTTTATTGCAGACGTAAACAACATAAGATCTTCAGCAGCCATTGTGTGGAACACCATGGACTTCCTTGAGCATTCATCACTGTCACAGCTACAACAACAATACCAAATTCCAAACTTCTTCATAGGCCCTATGCACAAAATAGCTCCAATTTCGACCACTAGTGTACTAAAGGAGGACAACAGCTGCCTTGCATGGCTTGACAAACAAGCTCCTAACGCAGTTATATATGTGAGCCTGGGAAGCTTGGAAATGGTGAACGAGAAAGAGCTAGCTAAGATGACTCGGGACTGGACAACAGTGATCAACCATTCTTGTGGGTTGCGCGGCCCCAGATTAGTTGATGGCTCAAAAGTCTCCGATCAATGTCTTGAGCTCTTTCAACGTTTTAAAGAAAGAATCATAGGAAGAGGTCTGATTGTAAAATGGGCACCTCAAAAGGAGGTTCTGACACATAGTGCGGCGGGAGGATTTCTGAGCCACTGCGGTTGGAATTCCACCTTGGAAAGTACATGTGAAGGGGTTCCAATGATATGCAGACCAAAAGGTGAATGCTAGGCACCTCATTCATGTATGGAGGGTAGGCCTTGAAATAGATCCTGTTCTGGAGAGAGAAGGAATTCAAAGAGCTATAAGAAGCCTCATGGTGGAGAAAGAAGGGGAAGAAATGCGGCAGAGAGCAATTGATATGGGGCAAAAAATCAACGGTTGTGTGCAGAAAGGTGGTGCTTCCTACAATTCTTTGAACGACTTGGAAGAGTTCATCTGACTGCCAAAACGACATGGCCATGTTGATTGAGTGTTGAAGCGACATGATAAAACAACCCAGTGAAATCTACTCATTCAATAAGTTGAAGGAAAATGTCTAGACCCTCTCTATGTCCTATGATATTATAAAGCAAGTGTATTCCATGTCCAATGTCAACTAAGGGAAGGTAGATACTACCGCGTACTTTTTGTTTCTGAACAGGTATGTACACACACACACATTGTTGATGCAAAAGATCGATCAGTCACAACACAAAATAAACACCAAAAATCATCCAAAAAATTACTAAACAAATTCAAAGACCTTACTCGTGAACTATCTCGAATTTCTCTTCGTCTGAGAACTGAAGTAGAAATATTGACCAAAAAAAAAAAGAGAACTGAAGTAGAAACACAAGCTCACTGTTAGGCGAAGAAATCCGTTTCATCGAACCTCCAAAACCTCACAGCTCCGCCGAAATCCAGTAATTGGTGACACTTCAAAAATTAACATATATGGAGCAAATTAGGGTTTTGAAAACCAAATTCATCTCATAATCAAATCAAACCAAATAATTCACACACAAATATGTAACTGAGGAATGGTTTCCACCTTCGATACACTTAAATAGAGAGAAAAAGCATTCATATCGGAATTTGTAGAAGACGAGGATGACGACGGCAACGATTAAGGTAATTCGTGGAGCCGCGCCAATTGGTGTCAGAGATTAACAGGAGAAGGGAGGGGTTTTTTTCCTCTGGCAGTTAGAGTGTGTGTGTGTGTGAGAGAGAGAGAGAGAGAGGTGTTCAACCGACCGACTGAAAACCTACCAAACGACCTCGTTTTTGTATATAATTATTTATACATTACTTGACTTTATCAAATTAGATTACATTATTAAATTTTAATTATATCGAGAGTACAATGCGAAAATTATAATATTTTTTCAAAGTATAACTTAAAAATTTTCATTTAAAGTGTCACTAGTGGGGCTCCGTGCAAAGCACGACTATGTATTCGTCAACTCAACATTAATGAAAATAAAAATTAATCATTTATCAGCAAGGTGAAAATTTTCATATATTTTTATTCATCTAATGTTAAAATTCAATTACAAATGACAACATAAAATGTCTCTAAATATAAATGTATTTAAATCAAATTGACCCAACTATATAACATTCATAAAAAATATATGTATATATCTACTACAACACTTCACTAAAATTATCGATGTTGCCTTTATTCTCAAAATAAATACCTTCATATTTAAAAAAATTGGATGATTTTTGCTACAATATCCAAATAAATGCGTAATATTTTATTGCAAGAAATGTTGTTAAAAAATTCAAATAAATGTAATCCTAATTAGAGATAAATTTAGTTCAAATAAATTGCATGAAAAATATGTATGGACCAATAGTAATGCCACATATTAGATTTTAAGAAAGTTAAATAATACAAAATTCAAGAAAATAGGATTAAGGTTTTGGAGACATCTCCTCGTTTGTAGACATATTCAAATAGTATATAGAGATTCGAGCACAAAAAAAAAAAAATTAAAGAGTAGATCAAAATCAGATTTTTTAATATTTTGTAAAGCAAAAAAAAAAAAATTATAAAAAGTTTACATTAAATTATCTAGAATTTTAAAAGACGTTGATTCGAGATGGAGGATGAGAAACCAGAGTGGGGTGTGGGCTAAGGTGAGGATGTTGTTCCCGGCACAACGTTGTACACGAGGAGCGTCTGTGCACCACCCCTAGTCTCATTTATTCATCTCATCTAGTCAAGATGATATTTTTATAACTGGTCCACATTAATAAACAAGTTGATCCTTTTGCAGACACTACGAATTTAAAACAGCATTCTATCATGATCCAAGGAGACAGACCATGCAGAACCTTGCTCATGAAGAGATGGATCCAGCAGAAAAACTTAGGTGTTATCTGTCTTCTTCCCCCACACCCAGTTACATCATTTCAGATGTCAGCAAAAAACTTCACAACCACCTCGCCATAAATATTCATTTGTCCTGATGTATTAAGGTTCGCCCCTTGTGATTGAGTTTCCAACCGAAGTGGTTGACCGATCACACACACAGGGTTTGAATTCTTTGATGTCTCTGTTCTGTGGAGAAAGAGAGTGAAATTTTAAGCTTCCTCCAAGGTTTTGAAACCAAGGCAACCACTTTCAAGAGAGAGAGATGGGAAAACAAAGCACAAAAAGAAGCCAGAGAGTGTTGTTAATACCAGGTCCATTCCAAGGGCACATAACTCCAATGCTTGAGCTAGGCACCACCCTTCATTCCAAGGGCTTCTCCATTACAGTTGCACACACGATCTTCAACTCTCCCAATCCTTCTAACCACCCTGATTTTGTCTTCCTGCCCTTATCAGACAATCTATCTGGCGCTGATATTTCCTCTCGAAGTCTGATAGCTCTCATGAAAACTATCAATACCAACTGCCAAGTGCCACTCCGGGAAAGCTTGGCTCAGATTATGGAAAATCCGGAGCCATATGACCAGGTCGTATGCATAATCTATGATACTATCATGCCCTTTGCAGAAGCTGTGGCTAACCATCTGCAGCTTCCAAGCATCATTCTGCGCACCAATAGCGTTTCAGCCACGATAGCTTACGAGTCCCTCCCTCGGCTCCAAGCAGCAGGTTACATTCCTCTGCAAGGTATGCATACAGCTGATATTTTCTGAAAAACAAAAATCTGTGTGAGACTTTGTATCGCTCAATACCAAACAACGGAAAAACATAGTCGGCCTGTGCTAATTGCTATAATGCATACCCAAAAGCCCTCCAACCCACCACCATAATGCAAACGACCGGCAGTGCCTAGTGGTGACATATGGGGCTTACTAAAAAATATTATAACAAAGAATCATAACTGAAATTTTGTTTTTGCCTAGGAAAGATTAGAAATGGAGAGACAAAATTTCCGGGAAAAACAAAATTAATGAAGATAAATCAGATGGCTAATTTAATTATGAAATAAATCTTTCTTTCGACGTCCTTCAGCTTCTAAATGCATCATGTCATCTTTCCATCAATTCTAATGTAGGATACATGACTTAATACAGTACAATTTAGCTTTTAGTTGGATGCCCTGCTTTGTGTCACTACATTTCTATTGTTTCGTAATACATAAAATTTGTTACATCTAATTTGATAATCGGCTATGTGCCCACTGTCTAGATGTTAAGAAAAACAGAAAAAGTAACAGTAAAAGCATATGCAATTTATCCTCTCCAATGGAACATGATAAAATTTGATCAAACTAGAGATCATCAGCAAACAAGTTTGTTTATCCATCTTAATTGACTTATTACCCGTAGATGATCAATCTCACATATGAGTCTTATAAAGACAAGCAGGGTATGCCGTCAAGGCATATTTTTATGAAGAACATGTCTTTCTTTGCGCACTGAATGGTATACAAGCTGAAGTGTTGGCAGAAAGAATCACACTATTCTGCTGGTTTTACGAAGAATCGGAGTCTTTTTTCTTCATGTTTATATGCCTGGTACTGACAAGAACTTAAAGCTTGTGTTCACAATTGAATCCTATATTGCCTCGATTGACTTGAACTCTCCAAAACTTTTCGGGATTTGGTGGCAATTGTTAGGATCTATTAATTCATTTCTCCTGCACTAGAACATTGTCCCTTTTAGGCTTTATTAATATTGTTGCACTACACAATTTTCTGTCTTTTTGGCTGCTTTTTTTTTTTTTTTTGGTGATGACAGTAGTCAATAGAAACATAGAGCATTAACTAACCACAAGAAGCTGAAAGTGCTTGTTTCTAACAATGCTTTGTTTTGTCATGGCCCATGAACAAGGTTCAACAATTCTTAGAGTTCAAGTATAAGTCGTTGTAATACAATGAAATAAGAGGCTAACAAGACTACCAAAATAGTGGTGTGAGGTTAGCAATTAATTCTTATAGCTGCGACGTTAGCAATTTATGGTTATACTCGAGTACAAGTGTGCCAAAAATAAAAGGTTTTTAATGTGGCAATTTTTGTGCAAGTACTTACAGTCCTTAACGAGTCCTTCAATGAGTCCTCCTTCGAATCAGCCCCTCTTATCAATAGCATCAAGCATTACTTCTACGACCAGAATGAAATATGAACTGTTTAACAATATATGTTCACCCCTATTCTATTTCTGAGTTTGATCAGAACTTGATACCATTATTATCTGGTACAAAATTACTGATAAAACGGCACTGATAAACAACAATACCTATGTATATTCCAGACTATATGTTGCAGGATTTAGTGCCTGGCCTTCAACCCCTAAGGTTCAAGGATCTGCCAATATCCAAATTTGGAACGTTGAAAGAATCACTAGAGATGATTGCAGATATAAGCCATATAGGAACTTCTTCGGCCATCATTTGGAACAGCGTGGACTGCCTTGAACCTTCAGCACTAGCACAGCTAAAGCAACACTCCCAAGTTCCGTTATTCACAATAGGCCCTTTGCACAAAATGGCTCCAGCCTCGTCCACTAGCTTAATAAGAGAGGACACCAATTGCACTGCATGGCTTGACAAGCAAGCTCCGGACTCAGTCATATACGTAAGTCTAGGGAGCTTGGCATTGATGGATGAGAAAGAGCTAGCTGAGACAGCTTGGGGACTGGCTAATAGTGGCCAACCATTCTTGTGGGTGGTTCGACCTGGCTCAGTCCATGGCTCAGAATGGATTGAAAATTTGCCAGAAGGTTTTAAAGAAGCAATTGAACAGAAGGGTCATATAGTGAAATGGGCACCACAAAGGGAGGTGTTGTCACATGGTGCAGTGGGGGTTTTTTGGAGCCATTGCGGCTGGAATTCGACATTGGAAAGTATCTGTGAAGGAGTTCCAATGATATGCAAGCCATACTCTGGAGATCAAAAAGTGAATGCAAGGTACCTAACTGAGGTATGGAAGGTTGGCTTACCCTTGGAGGGTGTTTTGGAGAGAGGTGAAATTGAGAGAGCCATAAGAAGACTCCTGGTGGATAAAGAAGGGGAGGAAATGAGGCAGAGAGCAACAGATATGAGGGAAAAGTTGAAGCTCAGTTTGAAAAGAGATGGGTCTTCAAACAATTCATTGAATGACCTAACAGAGTTCATCTTATCATTGCAATTGCCAAAATGAAAGCCACATTAGGCTTTCTAAGTTTTTATCACAATTAGAAGCCCTAAGTGGAATGTGAGGCAAGAACTTCAATAATCAAAATGTACTATTACCACTAATGACTCATGGTATTTAAGTTGTCATAATGCTTCTTGCCCCAAATTTATTGATTTAATTTACTAAAATATTGTCATCGTTGGATTTGATAGTAAACCCATAAAAATGAAGACTTGCGATAAATCCCAGTAGCAGATTAACATTGATCTCTAAGAGAATTACACCCAAACTGTTTAAGGTTTGTCACTTAATCACTCAAATCCTCTAATACTTAAAATATTACACACATGACCCCTTAAAGTTTGTACGCGCATAACATTTATATCCCTGTTGTAAATATATCTATTAATAAATTATCCTCAGACCCTCCGAAGTTTGTAAACAACTATTATTTGGACTCCTTAAGTTTAAAATATTATATTTAAACCAAAAATACTTCAATCAAAAATAAAATATCATATATTTTAAATTTTATAATTAAAATTCATGTTTTATTGTATTAGTTATTGAAATAAAATCAAAAATAAAAATTCTATTTTTTTCTTAAAAAATCACAATCAGATTGAAATTTAATTTGGTTGTTTAAACGACCAAATTAAAATATCAAACTATCCTAATTAAAGTTAAAAGATATTGTGTCCATGACAGTTTGACCCCTTGTTAATTTTTAATTTTATTCTCATAGTTAGTATAATTATATACTAATTACGATTTTTTAAGAAAAAATAAATTTTTATTTAATGATACAATAGAACATGAATTTTGGTTGTAAAATTTAAATATTTGATATACTATCTTTGATTGAAATATTTTTTATCTGAGTATAATATGTTAAACTTAAAGGGTCTAAATATTATATACCTACAAATTTCAGGGAGTCTATGTATAATTTATTAATTAATATATTTACAACATGAGTTTAAGTGTCACGCACGTATAAATTTTAAGGAATTTATGAGTAATATTTTAAATGTCAGAGAATCTGAATAATTAAATGACAAACCTCAGAAAGTCTTGATGTAATTCTCTCTTAATCTTTTAGGAAACATCATCCACCCATAAAGTCTCCAAATGTTGTGTAAGCAATTGCATCATACAATTATAATCCACTACTATAATCTATCATGTTCTCTTAGCCGTAATAATCAATTAAAAACTAGAATGACTAGCCGATGACGAGATAAAATTATTATGCATAAAAAATTCAAGAGGACGACTAGAGGCAGAAGACCAGGAACTCAGTTTAAATGGCTACAATCTTGCTTGCCAGTTGCATTAAGGCTTCCTCATAGCTATTAATATGGAGAAACGAGAAGAGAGTTGTGGCCGAATGGTTCTGGTCCCATATCCATTCCAAGGACACATAAATCCAATGCTTCAACTTGGTGCCATCCTTCACTCCAAGGGCTTCTACATCACAGTTGCTCACACAGATTTTAACTCACCCAATTCATCCAAAAACCCTAATTTCACCTTCCTACCCATACCAGATGGCTTGTAGCTTACGAACAGAGGACACCAAATACATTTCATGGCTAGACAAGCAAGCTCCAAACTTTGTCATCTATGTGCACATCGGCAGTGTATCTGTTATTTGTGGTATTCCAAATATAATAAAATCACTTACTAAATTTTTTGATTTGAAATGTGTAATATATAACAAAACAGTATCAATAAAGTCTGAAACAATTACACAAAAAATGAAAATAGTTACAATAGTCTTAACAAAATAGTTACACATACTTAATGAAACAGTTACACGTAATTGTTTGTCAAATCAATATAAATACTAACTCAATTGTAAAACAGGAACTGTTATTGAACTTTAGGTAGATCAAGACTAGTGTTTGACACTATGTCCTTAAGACAGATTTCGCCCCCACACACGGTGCTTATAGAATATAAAACGTCTACCTCTCAAGATTCAATGATCTTCACACGAGTAGAAGTAGCTCTCCAATCTACTCGTCCAGCAAACCAGAAATTGTGTTGTGTACTCTCCAAAATGCAGACGGTCTTAATGATGTATGAAACTGCCTTAAATGACTAAGAATGTATTAGATGAATTAGATACAAAATGATTATGTGACTGAGTTATTTATAGAGAGAATGATGACTGATTCAGACAGTCACCATCTGAACGGATGCAACCCAACAGTCACATGAAGTCAGAAGACATCACTTGTATAACTGTTCTTTATGAACAGACACAATTCAAATTTTGGACTGGAGGGAAGTAACAAATCTGAACCAGTGCAAATTAAAATCCAACAAATACTGAAAATTAAGTTTTTGGTTAAGAAATTCACGCCCAATTCATTAAAATGAATTTTCTCCAAAAAGATAGGGCTTGGTCTAAAACACACTCACACCCACACTCGAGCCCTGCCCGATCCGAGCCAGGTGGGCGACGCGTGTATGATAGAACTGAGGGTATGTAGGCGTTCGCTCCACTCATAAAATTGTGGTACCTCTTGGGGCCTAATCCCATAGTGCAAATATGGCCTATTTATGTCCATCTAGAACTTCTTCCTCAACTAATGCGGGATTGATGTCAAATCTCACATTACACAACCTTTATTTTCACATTTCAAGAATGTCACTTTGGAGCCTATTTTTTCATTCATTTTTTACTCGATTTGAGTAAGTGAATATATTACATTATTCTCCTTATGGAGTAGAATATGAACCCATTAAAATTTACTTAAAACAACAAATAGGTCCCACTTTAATTTAAGCTCAAAGTTGACCAAATATTTAATTTTTACACTTAAGAAATTATTTTGTGAAACTGCTTTGGTCCAACAATAGCTTCCATTAATGAAGGGGAATTCGTTGAGATAGCTTGGAGGCTAGCCAACGGTGAGCAGCCTATCCTGTGGGTGGTTCAGCCAGGTTTACCTCCGGGAACCGAGTGGATATCACCGTTGCTGGAAAGTTTCAAGGAAAGAAGTGATTGAAGAAAGAGGTTGTGTTGTAGAATGGTCACCACAGAAGGAAGTGTTGACACATATGGTGTAGTGCGAGGATTCTGGAGCTATTGCAGTTGGAACTCAAGGACTTCCCTTTCAACGAAGCACCGTCTTCGATCCATTTTCGCTCGACGTTTGGGAACCTTTCGGGAATCTTAAAAGAAGAAATAAAGGTCAAAATCGAAAATGATGAAGTTCTTCAGATTAGCAAAGAGAGGAATGTGGAGAAGGAAGACAAGAATGAGATGTGGCATCGGGTCGAGCGAATCAGTAAGAAGTTCATGAGGAGGGTTTAGGCTACCTGAGAATGTGTAGATGGATCAGGTTAAGGCGTCCATGGAAAACGGAACACTTATTGTTACTATTCCCGAGGATGAAGTCAAGAAGGTTGAGGATGCGTTTGATAACGTTTTTCGCTTTTATGTTTTTTTTTTTGTGATAAAAATTAAAAATATAAAACATATTTGGTAGTCATTTATATTTAAAAAATTTGTTTGGTATTATACCAAAAATTCACCACCCAACCCCACTGACTACCCAAAACCACCACCCCAACCCCACCATCGAACCCTTCTATCTTGCTTTCTCTTCTTCCTTATTCTTCTTTGCGGCGATTTTGTTGGGATCGAGCTTGGGTTGTGCGGCCTGTTGAATAGACCGAACATATTTATGAACATTTTTGCTTTTGTTCTTGAGCCCAAAGGTCTTATCTTCTAAAAACTTTTTGTTTCTTCACCAAGTCCGCTTTCGATTGCTACTTTGGAGGCATAGTTGATTGGCAATTGGTAAATTTTAACTTTGTTTTATACAAATACAGGACTTGAAAGATGAAGATATTTTTCGATCTATGAACAATTATTAGGCTTTTATTGAAATTTTAGAGAGAGAGAGAGATCTCCCCCACCACTGAAACCCACCCCTAACCCCACCACCGAAACCCACAACCCACCCACACCACTAAAACTCACCACCACAACCATCGAAATTCACCACCATCGAAACCCCACCACTGAAACCCATCACCACAACCACCGAAATCCAACCCTAATCCAACAGCTGAAACCCTCCCCACCACCACTGAAACCACAACTACCAAAACCCACCCCCATAACCACCGATGGAGTGCTAGCTTGAGATCTGAAGGAGATGGAGATGGAGTGCTGGCTTGAGATGTGAGAGCTCCTTCATTTGGTAACATTTTGTTGTTGGCCTCATGAGAGAGATGAACGAGAGAATGTGAGAGACGAACAAGAGAGAGAAAAAAAAAGGCAAAAAGGGGGTAAACAATGCTTTTATAGTGGAAATGAAAGAAACTCTTTTCTTGTCGTTAATGGAGTTCGAATGCTAAACCTCATTAAATGGTTCCAAGAGACGCATGTGTTTCCGTTACCTGTGTTTTTAAAAACATCTATTTTGATGTTTTCAAAATTTGGGATTGTTTACAAAACAAACCAACCAAAAAAAAAAAACTTTTCAAACATGTTATTGTTTTCTTTTTTTTTTTTTTGCAAAAAGTGGAAAAAAAAAAACACAAATACATGGTTACCAACTAGGCCCTAAGATTTCAAATTTCTATTTAGAATTTCGCTCTTATTCAAGAATGATGTCAATGTAGAAATAGCAATAACATAAAAAACCAGGGGAGATATAGAAAAATGTTGAAAAATTTATGGTTTTATGTAAAAGTCAAAAAAGAAAGAATAATTTCGAGTATTATGTAGAATGTGTTTGATGACCTTTTGTTATAATGTATTGAAAAGTTGAGGTATGGTATTGAAAATGAGCAGTGTTATTGGATTCTAAGAAATCGATCTAAATTATTGAATTAATGATATGATATTAACATAGTTTAATAGTGTTATTGTGATCGATTTATATCTTTTAAACAAGAACCCCGACTTTTAAACTTTTGTCCTAGTCTTGACTTATAAACTGATTATAACCGTCAAAAAAAAATTTATTAAATTTTTTCACTTAATATATTATTATATCAACAAATTAAATTATTTTACAAATTCTAATAGTATCGTAAAAAATAACACTAAAGAAAGGTGTGTTGATACCAATTCCTAGATATCTAAGAGGAAAATATTGCATAATGCTAGGAGACATCTTCGATAATTGTGCAAGGCAAATGTTTTTTTTTGACTTGATTAACCAAATACAAATTGTTTTCGCTTTGTAACTTGAGGATTTATCTGATTGTGTGGTCAGAATTGTTAAGTAAGAACAATATCGATGGATTAGGAGTTTAATTGATATTAGTTAATAAAAAGCTTGCTAATTTGAGAAATATTGTGGTTATGCATTGATGTTTGCATTATTTGCGTTGCTACATTTGCTGCCTACCTCCTCATAGTTTATGCCCACAAGTTCTTATGTTAGATATATATATATACTAGGAATAATCCGTATCTGAAGGCACGATGTAACTAAAAAAAATCGAACATTGAATTTGAACGCGAAATAATCAAGCACTAAACTCGGACACGTACTAAACTGAAAGCCTAAACTCACATGTCTGAAGACAATGTACATATAACTCTTAAACACGAAATAATCAAACAATGAATATAAACATGCATTCTGTTATGTGTGCGCTGCTCTGTGTGTGTGTGTGTGTGTTTGCGTCCATTTAGTACTTGGAAAAACCCAAAACTCGTCAAAAAGTAAGATAGTCCACAAAACAAACCAAATTAAATAATTGAACAATTAAAGCTAATTTAAACTACCGCATAATTTAAACTAACTCATAATAATTTTAACTAATTAAAGCTCAAACCAACAATTAAAGCTAATTGAACAATAAGCATAGGTACCGCACAATAATTTAAACTAATTAAAGCTCAAACCAAGAATTAAAGTTAATTGAACAATAAGCCTAAATCCAACATAAGTTGTATTCTTCTCTGTCCACAACCCTTTTTCTACAACCTACATTACTTTGTGATCAAATTACAATATTATACAAAACTGAATTAGCAATTCAAGCAAAAGAGAAAGCCAAAAGAAAGTTAACTAAACCCAAATCAGTAGTCTAATAGTCAGAAGCCTGATAAAAAAAAACAACAACAACAGCTTGCTGCTATAATGGCCTAACAGTTAACAAATTGGATATGTAGCATATGAACTATATAATTTTTTTTTTTTTTTGGGTAAGTAATGAACTATATCATTGTTTAAGGAAATTCAAGTCAATTCTTCTTGGTAGATAAATTCAACATTCTCAAGTACTTTGGTAATGCCAAAACCAAAGGGATCATTCTTTGACTCTGTCTGAGATGAAGAGCTATCAATGCGTCACTACTGAAAACATTTCCAACTACCAAGAATGAGAAAAATGCACATTATGTCACTATATAAAGGCTGATATTTAAGAGATGATCCAAAGAAAAATTGAGCAGAAACACATTAATTGCTGAAAGGTGCAAGGGCACCTAATTTGCAGATGAATTAGTCTTCAACTATCATCAATTATGAAAGCAAGAAAAGTATTGTTGAAAACTATCACCATCAGTTGATTCAAAGTTTACTCCTAGACAATACAATCTAATATATTCATAGAATAAAAACTTACTGCAACCCTAACAAAATTGACTCAAAAGTCATGAAACAATAGAATTTGGTCCAATCAAAGGGACCTACAAACATATGCCCCTAAGAATGCTCAATAGTCACCAGAGTTAGAAGAACTACAGTATAGAAGAATTATAAAATTATCAGTACCTAAACAACACCAACTCATGAAAATTGTTTAAAAGGCCAACGAAATCTCAGATCCGATAATCATAGAAGAACCAACATTAATGGAACATCAAGTCACTGGTCAATGACTCGATGGAACATCAAGTCAGGTTGTGTGGAGGAAGTTGGCTATCTAGATTACACATATCTACACTTGATAAGAGAAAGAGGGATAAAATTAATCAAAACTCTAGAGAAATGATATCTACAGCATAACCAATTTATGCAGACACATGATGTAAATGCAACACGCTGCCTGAAGCGACTGTGTGTGCGTGGCTGTAAATGTAGTCCAAGCAAAAGCGACTGTGTGTGCGAACATTGCCTGTAAATACAGTCCAAGAAAAAGTGAAAACTATATGTGTGTGTGTGGCTGTGATTTTTTTTTTTTTTAACAGGTGTGGTTGTGATTCAGAGGGTGCCTTTGACAGAGAATGTATGTCAGGAGCATTTGATTGAATAGCTCGTGGGCATTTGAACAAAGAGAAAAACCAAACAAATAGAGGCGTATGAAAAAAATATGCAGACACATGATGTAAATGCAAACACTGCCTGAAGCGACTATGTGTGTGTGGCTGTAAATGCAGTCCAAGCAAAAGCGACTGTGTGTGCAAACACTACCATTAAATGCAGTCTAAGCAAAATTGAAAAACAGATATGTGTGTGTTGTTGGGGAAAATAGGTTTTCCACAAGTGTAAATCAATGGAAGCATTATAAATAAAATAACAGAAAATAAATAAGTACACAAGATTTACGTGGTTCCCTCAAATAACTTGAGGTACATTCACGTCGACCGGTAGGTCAGTTTCTTCCACTATCACCAAATCAGATTACAAAGTGGCCAAAAGGCATAAGCCTTACAAACACACCAAGGTGTAAATCACAAGAGGAAAATACCTCACAAAATAAGTGAACCAAATCTCCAAGAACAAACCGCAAGAAACTCAAATATCAAGTGAAGAAATGTTACCCACTTGAAGAACAAATTTGCAGATTTTTGTGGCACCAAAAATGGAGAAGAAGAAGGCTGAATTTTCTGTTGAACCAAAGACTACCCAAGAAATCTTCTTGCCAAGCCAACCGAGAAGAGAGAAAACCAAGGAAATGACAAAAGCTTGTAACCTTATTTGGCTGCTCAAATTGCTTTAACGTGAAAACTCAAACCAAGCCTTGAATATGCCAAGAGTCATGCATGGGAAAGCCACCAAATTAAAATCCATGTGCTTACCAAGGTGCATGCCAAAATTAACAAAACTATATTTAGCAAATTGATAAGTCCCACTAAGGAGGGAAACCCAACAATTCTCCCCCTCCCGACTTATGTGGAGGATTCGACCATTCCCGCCAAAAGTCGACACTTCTAATGCTTGTCCTTAGTCAATGCCTTAGTTAACATATCCGAAGTGTTATCATCAGTGTGAACTTTTTCAAGTTGTAACAACTTATCATTCAAGACATCACGAATCCAATGATATCTAACATCAATATGTTTCGATCTCGAATGAAATGAAGAATTCTTGCTCAAGTGGATTGCACTCTGACTATCACAAT